ACTTAATCTATATAATTACATTGCACTTTCAGGCAACTCAACAAACAATCCAATATATATATTTAACAATTTCATAGAAGATGCTACCTGCAACAAAAAACAAATATGGATACTTTCACAAGACATGAGTAAAGCATACAACTCTGTCAATCTACATCTTCTTATCAAAGCTCTATAAAGACTTAATATACCTTTACAACTTACAAATATTATATAAAACCTTTTACACAACTGATATAATCAAGTTATTACCAACTTTGAACTACCAATACTATACTTAGTAAAGAATAGTATTGACCAGGAAGAAACCATAACACCCTTACTTTGGCGTATCTACTATGTTTTATTAATTAACCACATATATTATAAATACAAAAGATACACATCTTTAGTTCAATAGCTTACATAACTCAACCCTACAAAATATAAAAATAAATCTATATTAATATCTATCTTAGCCTATATAGATAACACATTATGGCTTAGCTTATCTATAAACCAACTTCAACAAATAATTCATATAGCTATATCCTTTTACACAATAAATCATATTAAAGTAAATCCACAAAAATCTACTCTCATCTCAAATACTAACTCAACACCTCAAAACAACTTTATGAACTCTACTATTACTACACAACCTATACATACTCTATTTAAGTTTTTAGATTGCTGGTTCACAGCTACCCTCAAATATAACAAACAAATTAAACTTAAAAACAAGAGGCATTAGGACTCAATGATATACTTAAAACTAAGAATATAACAGACAAACAAGCTATCTATATCATCAACAATGTGATTATCCCAATTATAAAATACTGTATTCACAACATAGTAATTCCAAGAACTACTTGCAACTCTATACTATCCTCATACTTTATCACAACTAAACATAAAGCTAAATTATCTATTATAACACCTAATAGCATCATGTTTAACCACAATATTTATGAAATTAAAAACATCTGGAATATTTAACTACAACACTATATCTCTAACTTCTTACTTAGAATCAATGACCCAAACCTTACAGGTACTAGTACACATATAAGGCTCCAACAATTACAAAATAATTTATAGTCAACCACCAATATTCTTCAACACTCACAACTTTAATTAATAGACTGAATAAGAACACTACCATATTTAAAATTATACAACTATTTAACTAACTTCAACTTAATATAAATATTTACTCTAATTTTACACAAATTTACACACTCTAGTACTCTTATATAACCATTGAAAAAATATTAAACACATATAAATTATATCTATCTTTCAAGAACAACTACATACAAAAAATATTATATACTTTAAACAACTTATACCATATGATAATATATCTCTACTTGACTGGTCACATATTTCACCATGATTACAACACATCCCTACAGGTCGTAAACTACTATGGTTTACTATACTAGAAAATAAAATTATTACTGATTAACAAATCAGATTAATTGATACTCAACTACAACTATCAAACACAAATACTCTATCTTTTAATACCAGTTATTTACAGACTAAACCTAAACCTTGATTAATCTCATACAATAATGATAACATAATTCTAGGAAAAGCTGAAAGATATAACCACCATAATGACTCAATATCAATTACACATTAGCAAATTGAATTTGACCACTCTCACACCAATCTCTATTCACTACCTATATATACCTGTAAACCATGTACAGGATGTTTACTAGACTCTAACCGAATTAAAAAAATATATATATTAAATATTTCAGCCAACTTATCCAACAAACTTTTATGCAGAAAAACAAACAACAATACCTCTAACAAACTCAACTTGCATACTAATCTACTGGACTCAATATACTCAATTGTATTAGATGTTAATTTGGGGTGTCGTAAGTTACGTGATCTGACATCTCGTTTTTGCTGTGGCTAGAGTATTTCTCAAGCCCTATGAAATGTCATCATTTCGCTAGTTATAATACATTATAGTTATTGAATGGGTTGTAGTGAATAAATTATAGTTATTCAATTTAATAAATTATTATATTTAATTTGTTTAATCATTAGAAAGTATTATTATAAAATTTTATACTCTTGGGAGCGGGGTAAGGCAAGGGGACCCCCTCTTCCCACTTTTATACATAATCACTTTTGAGCCTTTTCTTAGAAAATTAAATCAATAACTTATTAGAACGCCAGTAGCAAATTTTAAATTTAAATTATCAGCATATGCGGATGACCTGATAATCAGTATAGGTTCACCACATGACTGGGAGACCCTTACAAATTTATTAAATAGATATGAAAGGGCAGCTAATGCCATGATCAATAAAGACAAATCAAAATTGTTGGTTCTAACAGAAAAGGCAAGGCAGAAAACTCTATTAGACAAAGACAGTTTTGGCAAAATGGATGAAAATGATACAATTGGGTCCTGGGATTCTAGATCAATAACAAAGGTTTTGCCAATGAAAATTTGTAGGAATCAGTTATTACAAAGATCAAAAAAATGGTAGAGGCGATAAGCAAAAAAATTTAACCTTCAAAGAGAGAATTTTGATTGCGAAGACGTTTCTTCTCTCTAAGATCTGGTTTGCAGCATATATTATACCCCCAACAAGAAGACAACTTTGGCAAATAAATGATCTTATGACCAACTGGATTAAAAATAAACGGTGGTCATTTCCAAGATACACTCTATATCAACTACCATACAAACACCTAGAATTAAATACCCCAGTACTCCCAGATATGTTAGGTGCAAGGTTAGCCACGATCTAGCTTAAACTACTTACTAGCCAAAGTCTATGAGCAAAAAGTGAAAGGATGAGAATAGGGTCAGGGTTTCTGTCTAAACGCAATATAACTGTTGTCTTAGCATTAACTACCCTTCCTATAAAATCGAAGGGTTGGCCAAGTGAATGGAAGCCATTTTTTAAAGCTTGGAAGAGGTTGGAAAGAAGAATCTCAATAACTAATAAAAATTGGCCTTGGGACCCTATGAGCTGGGAATTATAAAAATATTGGAAAATGAGTATACAGTTGCAAAAGACACAAGTTTTCTAAAAAAAACATTTACAGCACGCTCCCTGACATTAGCCAGTTCTCTCGATGAAATCAGAAAAGAGAGTTGATCCTGACTACACATAAATTGGATACCTAATAGAAAAAAGGATATTCTATGGCATTTGATCCATAAGGGCCTCTCTTTAGGTTCAAGATGAAAATATGCAACCTCAGACAAAGTCCTGAATTGCCCATAGTGCCCAAATGAATTACAGACAACAGAGCACTTCGCCCTTGAATGTCAAATTAGTAGGAATCTTTGGATGGTAGCCTATAACATGTTTGGTCCCACACGTAATTCAACACCGCCAAAGACAATTGAAAAAATAATTACCGCTTCCAATGTAACAATGCTCCAACCCCATTCAGTAATCATATGGCTCCACATTAACATTATTTATGAAATTTGGATTTGGTTCACAGACAAAAGATGGGGAACGCAACCTGTCAGAAGTGGCATTACCATTTATTTGGAGGGATAGGATCATAAGGGATATACAAGTGATGCTGAGATGTAAAAAGGTACCTAAGAAAGTCAAACAGCTGTTAAAGAATGTATTTAATGTAAATGCTACTCGTGTATTTATTGAAACAATAAACTGCGTCACCTGACGTCCCTAGATAACTGCTATCTCGGGTTTATAAAAAAAAAAAAAAAAAAAAAAATTCTATACTCAGCATATCAAGATTATAAACATCACATGTTTTAAAACGGTGAAAAATGTTTTTTTTTACCATCCCTAGGCGGGGTACGGCAAAAGTTTTGGGCA